CCCCCCAGGAGCCTGGTTTGTGATAATTTCCTCCATTTTCAATGGTTCAACACACAGTCATAGCACTCATAGCAGCACGTTTGCACGTGCTGAGAGGCAGAGGGATTCATACAGGGTTACCAGATGCCACATGAGATGACTTCGGTAGGAGCTTTGAACCTTGAGCTTTTAGCATGACTGACTCCCCTTCCTCAGACATATTGCAGGAGGAGGTAGTGCTCCCTCCTTTATCTGAAAGTTGCACATGTCTGGTCAACACCCTGCTTCCCACAGAACTCTTTTACACCTCTCTGCCCGAGTGTCCCAGATAATCCAGTATTACCGAGCATGAGCCAGGGACTTTACACAGAAGGTAGGGCATTTGAGTGCTTGCAGTTTTGATTGTCCAGGCTGAGAGGCCTTGAATCTGCGACTTTGGAACTCTAGATGATGTTCCAGGAGAGCCTTGCCATTGTGCGTATTTCCCACAGAAATATTCAGGAAACAGGACACACTATAATTAGTCTCATCTGCTTGAGGCCATTCATTTGGTGTTTTCTCCACAATATAATGGAACTACTAAAATGTGTTCTTCGACAGTCAGACATATGTGCTGTTAAGTAAWAAGGGTATTAAAGAGAATGGATCCTGTGGAAGTGGCGCATCTGTAGCAGAGGATTGAGAATGGAAAAAAACAAATGCCTTCTGTGTGTGCCTGGCACCATGTCTTCCATTTGCCCTCATGACAGGCATGTGATACTATGAAGAAAGAAAGAAGCCACTGCACTGCACTGAATTCAAAAGGTCAGCACTGCTGTGAAGAGTAGGAGATTGAGGCTAGTAGTGGTATGTGTAAGCCGTAGAAAATGCACACTTGATGCTATTTATAATTTCCAGTATTTTAGTGTCCACTCACAGAACTCGCAATGCTATTGTCCTGCAGATTACAGTATCTGCGACTATCCGGTAATTCCACATACACACATACCAACTGACCAGTCAGGTGTCTTAGATCAGTTTGAGTGTTCTTTAATGTTTACCAAGTTTGAAATTCTCCAGTTTCTTTCTCCAAGACATATTTTTTGTAATCAAAATTATGTTTTCTTGCTGAACCACCTCTGTTTGTTTCATTGTCCTTTCTCAAGTATGGGCACCAGAGGGGTCGTGATCAATTAATATCATTAATATCATAGCCAGAAATGAAGAGCAGYTCTTAAGTGTCTTTGCTGTTTGTCTTTATACCTGCAGTGATCCCGTATTATCTCTTTCTGCTATGGAAAAAAAGACCTGTTMATCCAGGCTGTATGCAGTTTAGTCTTCAAGTGCAAATGAACCATCACTGATTTCAAATTTAGCGTATGTAAATGATTTGTTACTTTCCTTCAGAGCTCTTCTCTACTTCATTGTTTTATATTTATACTTAAAAACAGATGGAACAATGCACTCAGAAGAGAACTGCTCAGCCAGAGTAGCTGAAAATACCAGTGACAGTGTAGCTTCATAAGTCTTCTAAAAGTTTTCTAAACTTGGTGGTTTTGGGAAGAGGAAAAAGTGATCATTATAATGTAAGTAGTTACTACTGTGTCTAAAGCCTATTGTTAGCTAAGATTGTTGACCTTGTGGTTTTCATCCTGTTATAATTGTAAATACTGTTGTACTTAATAGTATAAATTAGTTAATAAATGGGACCTGGTAACAAAGGGCATGRAAGAGGCTGAGGTACTCATTCACATCTTCACCTTGGCCTTCCCTGGTAAGATTTGTCTCAGGATTCCAAGGTCCTGAGACTCATCAGAAAGTCAGGAGTATTGAAGACACCCTCGTAAGAGCAGGATCACGTTGGGAGGGAGAAGTCCTGAGGACTAGAAAATGCAAATATCTTGTCTTTGCGAAAAGCAAGAAGGAACAAGGATCTTGGCCAGTCAGCTTCACTTTGATACCTGAGAAGGTGGTGAAGCAAATAATCCTAGAAACCATTTTCAAATGAATGAAGGACAAGAAAGACTGAAGGTAGTTGGCATGAATTTATGATAATAAAATCACTCTCAGCTCACCTTTTAAGACTACATGACTTGTTCAGTGGATGAGAAAAAGCAGATTTTGGTCACAGCAGATATACTGCTATTACAACTGAAGGCTGACTTCCTTTCTCTGGTTCCTAGGAAAATACTATAGCCTCATATTGCTCCACACAGGCAGCCTATAATGTGATCAGTGTGCCTCTTTAAGGAATGTGGTGAGCAGTAGTGAAAGCATTGCTCAGTTGGCAAGTGCTCCTACAGTGTGTCATAACTTCCCAGCAGAATCCCGTATCTGGGAAGAACAGTATGCTGCAGGACATGTGTGATGAAGGGGAAGCAGTACATTTGAGGAAAAAGACTTGTTTTTTATGAGAAATGTWAATCACTTTTATTATTCTGTTTGAGTTCAGGACTTGTCTGTGCTGAATAGCATTTCCAGTGGATGGATCAAGAAACMTAACTCAGCAAACCCGACAAATGCAAGCAGATTTCTTTTGGTTGTGGAGATAAGGGTGTTTCTCTGAATTATCAGTATTATTACAGCATCTACACTAAGACTTTTGCTGGACTTGATAGCCACCAGAAATGGGAGGAGTGGGGCTGACACTCCTGCCTTCCATAAGTGTGCCAAGTGGAATTCAGCATGGAGATCACTGGTTATGAAGAAACTTGTATACCATAAATATTTYCATTTAAATTTAAAGGTCTTAGAACAATAACAGTCATAATCACTAATCATCAGCTGAATCCCAGGCCCACACTGAATTCGGTAGGACAACTTCTCATTCAAGGTACAGTTTACTTAGGAGTAACTGACAGTATCCATTCCCATTTGATTTCAGCAGGTTTCAAATGTTAATTATAAGTAATCACAGCAATTTGTAATTAATGTAACTCTGACTTTCTTATGAAATATGCTTACAAGTCTGTCTGAGCTGATAAGTAAAGTGGACCACGCCAGTATGTTCCTGCAAGGCAAGGGACAGAGTGTGGCTCACATGTAGCCATTTAGTGCTTCAAGGGGTCTCACTCAAATTGCAGCTTGGAAACAGTTTGATGTTCTCTGAATTGTCCTCAGACTACCTGCTTGAATGCAGGCTTGCCCTTGAACTTCATCCAATAATTCCAGCTTAGAAACTCTTAAGAATCCATTGTCAGTTCAACCTGCTCATGTAAACAGAGGAAAATACTGAATTCAATAAGCAATTTTRCATAAGTGCTTTTCTCACAAGCAGCTGAAATTATAGTATGCAACARAGCAGTCACAGCTCTTTTGGGGCAGTGCAAATATTAATAGTGCTGTTTGCCTCTTTATTTTTGGTTTTTAATGTAATACCAGYGTGTTGCATTCTTCATATTAATCTGTTGCATGTGGAATTATCCCCAAGTTGTGTTATGCAGGATCAAGGTGATTAACACAGACAAGAAAGTAATATCTAGTTCTCTTGCACTTAACACCATRGATTTGCTCAGTCCCTTGAGCATAAGTCAGACTAAGATTCTGAAAATCCATTTCCTGCTTATGGAGAGGGGTCAGGACATTACCTGTTCTAATCCTGGCAGTTGTGGGTTTTTTGGTTTGGTGCCCAAAGCCTGTTTGAATAAGCACACTGTCATTGTTATATGAAAGAAATGACAAACACAACATTAATTTTAAAAGCCCCAACCCATTATATAACCAAATGGGATTTTCTTCATTTTCTGGGCTTTTCTTGACATTTTTGTGTTGGGTGGAAATATTGCTACAAATTTAAAACTGGAGAAATGCTTCTGAACTGTGAGCATCTGGTAATGAATAGCTTTCAAACCCAATTTGATCTTTAGAAAAACTAAACAACTTAGTTGCCCTGCTGCACCATCTACAGGCAGAAAAGCCTCATGGTCATATTACAAAATTTAACTGTTTTAAGCACTTTCTTTAACCATTGCAATTAATACATAAAGCTGGAATTTTTCTCTTTTCATCTTAATTAGTATGAAGGTTTTATGCCTTTTGTGTGTAAAATGACATTTCCCACAACTTTAAATACCATGTACACTTGGGCCACTTTGCCTCTGCAAAACTTGTATTAATTTGGATCATATCRTGGGGATATAGAAAATGAGATTGGCTTCGTCCTTTATTGCAGTTTAGGCATTTAATGGGATGTAGATAAAAGCTGTTGCATTTATCAGCTGTCACATACTTTTTCATAAAGACACCTACATAGGGATTATGATTAACATCAACTCGGTTGTCACCACTATGCCTTTTTTACCCATGAGTCCTCACTGGCTAGAGTTAAAGATATTCTTAAAATGACCTAGAAAATTCTGCTTCTCTTTCCCACAGCAAATAAAACCCTGCTAAATATTCTCGTATATCATTATGATAAAATGGGAGTGGAAAATTTAATGCCTGCGCTTGTAAAATATGCTCTAGTTTTGCAAGGCTGTTTAAAAAGTGAATATT